CTCCCTCTGCACTCCCCCCCACCACCGGTGCTCTCTCTCTCAAATCAATCAATCAATCTTTAAAAAAACAGAATTATGTTGTAATACATTCTGGCATACTATGCTATTATTAATAATTATGATATTGGTTCACACAAACAAGTGAAGAAAAGATACTTGTGATGAATTACTGAGTGAGGCAGGTAGCTTTTAAAAATAATCAATATTTGGGAGGTGGTCTCTTGCTATAATGAATACAGACTGTTGTCAGACCTTTAGGACATGAATTTCAGATTGAAACTCTGATGTTTACGAACATGCCAGTCCCTTGAAGTCTCATTGGTAAACTGGGAAAGAATATCAAATAGCATATAAAATAGTCTGAAGATTAAGTAATCTATATAAAATACTTAATAAAATAATTGCTTAAGTTAGTTATTATTATTTAAAGTGGAGAAACTTCGGGGCACCTAGGTGGCTCAGTGAGTTAAGCATCTGTCTGCTTTTGGCTCAGATCATGATCCTGGAGTCCCAGGATCAAGCCCTGCATTAGGTTCCCTGCTCAGCAGGGAGTCTGCTTCTCCCTCTGACCCTCCCCCTTCTTGTCTTCTCTCTCTTTCTCTCAAATAAATAAATAAAACCTTAAAAAAATAAAGTGGAGAACCTTCCAAGTTCCTTAATTTACTGTTTTAAAAGAAACACAATTCTGCTAATTCCATTTTTCTTACAATAAAATTTAAGTTCCTTAGGCCTACATTCTTATAATGCTAATTAAAAAATGTCAAAGCCTGGCTTTAAGCATATAATTCTCCTCAATAAACAAATATTAACAAAAAAGATTCTCCAACACTTTAGGAGAAAATATGCCCATCCCCTGCCCCAGGCAGTTCAGAAAAATCATTTCAACATCCTAGAGGAGTTCAGAGAATCTGATGATCAGGTACCAAATTAAGAATTTAGTGAGTGTCTAAATACTGTTTTTTGGAACAAGGTGGAGATTTATCTGATTATTCGTAACTTTTACTACCTATTCCATGTTTCTGTTTACATAAATCTATCATTGGAAATGTTTATACAACAGATACTTGGAATAACCCAGACATCAGATCTTTTCTATATTCTCTGAAATGACATTTAATCTAATTTTTAAAAATCGATTTTATTTTTTTTCAAAGATTTATTTATTTATTTGAAAGAGAGAGAGAGAATGAGAGACAGAGAGCACAAGAGGGAAGAGGGCAGAGGGAGAAGCAGACCCCCCGCTGAGCAGGGAGCCCGACACGGGACTCGATCCCGGGACTCCAGGATCATGACCCGAGCCGAAGGCAGTCGCCTAACCAACTGAGCCACCCAGGCGCCCTTAGCTGTTTACTGTTATCCTCACTCTAGTACAATGTAAATTCCACGAGAGCAGGGACCTTATAAGTCTTGTTCACTATCACTGCATTGATATATGTGTGTGTGTGCAAAAGGGGAGATAGAGAACAGTTGAATCCAATGTACAGATAAAATATTGCACGAATGAAAAATGAGATTCCCTGTCACTGAAAATGGGTTTGAAATATAAGGAAAGAAGATGAATGGCAAATGGCGTAAAGTTGAAGTTTCTTCTATAGCTCATGTTGAGACCTTGATTTCCTCCCCACGTCACAAGCCCATGCTCTTGGCATCACCAAGTCTTGGTACCTTGGAGGGCTTTACAAATACCACAGAGATGTACTCCTTCCCCTTACCACATAGGCTGCTACCAGCTCTGATGGCTTCTCTTTGCCTTCCTTGCCCTCCTTACCTGTGTACTGTCTTTGTGTTTCTTCCCTCAAAATCATCCAGGGCTCTTTTCCTTGCTCCAATAAGTCAACCACATCTGGTTTAGAAATGGAATGTCCTGCTTACAAGAAAAAAAAATGCCACATGGTACAGAAATAAAAACAGAACTCACAAAATCTTTAGCTTTGCTTAAATTTGTCATGAAATCAAGATTAAATGTTAATGATACAGACTTCAGATAATAGAAGGATGAGATGATTTAAGGAACCAGGCAGGTATGATGAAATTTTATTCTAATTTAAACTCATATAGACTCTTCCTCTTAAGAGAAAATTGAACAAAGTGACTGAAAAGGTTAACAATGTTTGAGGACACTCATTGGAGCTAAGGGCGTGTGCACAAATTCTTTCTCCTCTAATGTTTACCAACCTTGTGACTTTGAGGAAACCATTTCAACACACTGCTCCCCAATGTTGGCAAGTAAAATCGGTATGATAATACTATTATTGCGTGGTTATTTGATGATTAAATTTGTATGCATGTATATATATTCCTCTCACCCCTGCTTCCCAGGAAGAGTATCATAATTGGGACAGAATGCCAATTAAAATTATTTTATTTCCTTAAGAGGAAAACAAGAAGCATCCTCATTCATTTGTAAAATATTCATTCAATTATAAATGTCATGCTCATGAATTGTAACTTTCGACCATAAATCATATAAAATTGGTTGCAGGAAATGAAATGTGTACCCTTCAGTTTTAAATGAATATTGTTTATCCAGTCCACCACTATAGAAGTTATAGAGCTCTTCTCACAGCTACAGCCAATCACAAATCTTCATCTAACTATTGCCCTGCAGGTGGATCAGAGGATGACCCAGCAAATCCACAGCAATATTCAGCCTGAACACAATGGGAAACAAGGCTTCTTGGACAACAGCTATATATGGAATAAATATAAGGAATTTTTGTCCAGCCCCATGGGAAGTAAGGAAGGGAGGCAATGACAGGAAGGGCGAGAGGCAGATGTGAACATCACCAAAAGAGGAAATGACCATGGTTGGTGGCAGAGGCATTCACAAACTGACAGACCTCAAACCTCCCTCTGGGAATAAGAAAAAGAAATTCAGCTTACATCTTGAAAGACAGCTTTGAAATTCCCTGTGTTGAAAGTCAACATACCACAGAGCACATTCTAAATTTCTCGTGGCAAATGAACTTACCCAATGAGACCAAGTTTCTATAGTTCTCCAACATCACATCCCTGTACAAGTCCCTCTGAATAGGGTCCAGGTATTCCCACTCCTGCCGAGAGAAGTCTATGGCCACATCCCTGAATGTCACTAATTCCTGAAACTGCAAACCCATGTAGTATGAAATTGGAAAACATTTTCAAGATGGTAAAGACAGGAGATTACAGGAATGAATTAAAGAAAGGGAGTGATATAGTACAAATGGACTAGAAAATCAAAGCCAAATGTCTACATATTCCTGAAGAATCCTATTGCTACAGACAAGTCTTTGTAGGTTGTGGGCCATCACAAAAACTCAGACCTACTGGGGAATGGATAAGATTAAAGTTTTTTTCCTATTCAATAAAGTATAATGCACAATCATGTAGTCAGCTAGCTGCATGATGTATAAATTCTCAAAAAAACGCCAGGTTCTAAATTATTTTTCCTTCAGAGTTAAACAAAGATGGGATTTGCCTCCCATATTGAATATAAAAATTTCTGTATTAAGTAAAAGCTTTTGAAAAAAGTTGACATTTCTATAGGCATTCAGTTCATCCTTTGTCAGAACACATCATAAACATTTTTCTTTGTTTTGACAAATAAATTCTGGATGTCACAATCCATTTTATTATAGATATCTCAGACTTAATCCATTCCTGACATTTATATACCTGGTTGGACAAAATTTCAAAGGTCTTCATCAATTCTAGAAATTAACACATTTATACTCCTTAGGATAAATTCTCATTCATTGTCATCTTTCATCAGTTACTCAAATTTTTGTTTCTAACTGTATACTGATGAAGGATGGGAGCCATAATCAAATAGATGTCACCCAAATTCATCAGATCACATTCAACCACAAAATAGATATATTTGTCTCTCAATAATTCCTTAGAAAGATGCATGACCCAAATGTTTCCAATCATTCTACAGTGCTCAAGAACATGAGATACCATCATATACTAAGACTAAGACCAACTGATACCAATATCCATCTCATCTGCCTAGAAAATTCAGGTCTGTGGAGAATTTGAAAGTCTACCTGTGGTAATTAAATGGGACCAACACCTCTAACTCATCAAACCAGAGACCTATAAAGGAAACTCAAATATTTCCTTCACGGGACTTCACTCCTTTACTGCTCTATCAGAGCCTTTGATTGAAGACTAAGCATAGAAGTGGATTGAGTAAATTGGATGATAAATAAAAAACTGGAGAACAAACACTCATTAGGAGGAAACTGAGCTATTTTCTATCACTTTTTTTTTACTTTAGAACAAACTGTAGAGCAGATAACTGAAAGAGGCCCTCTTAAGTAGGAAGCTTTGGGTTAATTAATCAAAAAACCCACATAGACTAAAATAATATTGCAAGAAGACAGGAATAACCAACTTACACAGGTCATGGTTTTAGAAATATAAGACCTGATCAGTGCTCCTTGGTGTTCCTCCATTGAAAACAATTCAAATTCCAGAGAATCCAGAGCTGAGAGAAGAAAAAAAGTTTTAGTGTTCCCAATATGACTTAACAAAATCTTTTTGTTCCTCCATTCTTCTAAAATTAGCCCCCACTACTGCACACACAATTTAGGGAAAAATAGAAGATGGATCTAAGGTCTCTCCCAAATCCCAGGACACCAGACTACACAAAGGTCGTTGTAGAATAAGTCACTTCTCGCAGTGAAGCCAGATCCAAACACAGGAGCAGGAGATCTCCTGGACAAGCTCCCATGTTGGGAAGCCTGATCTAGTCCTGAGATTGGGCTGCTCAGTCTTTCCATGAGTGGATCCACCTGCCTTCACTCCCACCTTCCAAGGCTGAAAGAGGCCTCACCATCCAAACCAGAGGTGCTTTTATGGCCTCATGGTCCATTGAAGTTGGTCAATATATGGGAAATGAACACAAAGAAGGAATTGCTTAGGCCCACATTCTGTGTTTTGAGTCCAGCCAAGCTGACTACTTAAATACTAAATATTCAGGCAACAGAATATAAAGCAGCCATTAAATGCTAAAAAGGAAAATATATTTAAGGACATGGACGATATTACACCAATAGAAAAATAAGATAAAAAATAGGAGTACAACATGATTAGATCATTAAAAAAGAGACAGACATTGGGGGACAGGGAATAGGATATCAACTGATGGAAAGGTTTGGTAATTTATCTATTTTATTACATTACACAATCCTATGTTACCATCCCTTTTTTTATAGGCGTAATCTTGGTTTTCTTTTTGTTTTAAATATACTTCATAATTATTTTAACAGTGGCCATACATTAACTTAAAATATATATATATACACACAAATGTATGTGTTAGAAGAAGCTATTCTCCAAAAAGTACAGACTTCATTTAATTTAAATTAAATTAAATTAAAAGTTTTAAAGATTTTATTTATTTATTTGACAGAGAAAGAGCGCAATAGGCAGAGCAGTAGACAGAGTGGGAGGAAGAAGCAGGCTCTCCGCTGAGCAGAGAGCCCAATGTGGGGCTCAATCCCAGGACCCTGGGATTATGACCTGAGCCAAAGGCAGACGCTTAACCAACTGAGCCACCCAGGTGACCCGAGATTTCATTTAATTTTAAAACACCTTCTTCTTGAGCTTGGAAAAAAGCTGAGTACTCTAAAGTCTTCTTGACCCCAAGGAGGTTTTTTCTTGACATTTAGCCACAATGTCTTCCAGACAACTGCCCAATCAACTTATCCTATTAGTCTCATTTTGCATCTAAACATCAGTTGAGGGAAGAAATTAGAAGGCAAAAGTTTACACAATAAATCCCACTTATCTCCAGAGAGATTCCATGGGCTCAGTATAACTTGTTCATACTTTACAGTAATGGTCAGAATCCAACCAATGTCACTTTCCCATGAATTCCCAAGGTAGGTCATCTAACTCTCTTTAGTGGTCTTTACTATACACTGATCTATACTTATTCTTAATCGTAGTTTATATGCCGCTGGATTATTGGCATTTAAATGTAACATCTAAAGGGGCACCCAGGTGGCTTATTAGGTTAAGCGTCTGACTCTAGATTTCAGCTCAGGTCATGATCTCCAGGTCGTGAGATTGAGCCCTGTGTCATAGGCTCTGTGCTGAGTGTGGAGCCTGCTTAAGATTCTTTCTTCCTACGCACACCTCCCCCCACTCCATTCAGTACATTTGCTCTCTTTAAAAGAAAAAGGGAGGGGGGGAAGGAAGGGCTACATATGTATAGTCATTTAATCAACTCAAATGCTAGTATCACAGGGTCAGACAATATTGTAGGCCCTTAAAATGTCTAATTTCTTTTTTTTTTTTTTAAGATTTTATTTATTTATTTGACAGAGAGACAGAGAGCACAAGCAGGCAGAGCGGCAGGCAGAGGGAGAGGGAGAAGCAGACTCCCCGCTGAGCAGGGAGCCTGATGCGGGGCTCGATCCCAGGACTCTGGGATCATGACCTGAGCTGAAAGCAGACGCTTAACCAACTGAGCCACTCAGGCGCCCCAAAATGTCTAATTTCTTATATGAAAGTCCGCTATTAAAAATTAAGGAAATAAAAAGAGGTATAAAAGTTATATGCATAATGTTTTTCAGAGAATTTTTCTATAACAAAAAACTGAAAACATGTTAACAGTAGGCAACATGTTAAAAGAATTATGTTGGGGGCACCTGGGTGGCTCAGTCTGTTAAGCAGCAGACTCTTGATTTCCACTCAGGTCATGATCTCAGGGTCATGAGATCGAGCCCTGCCTTGAGCCCCAGAGATGGGCTCTGCATTCAGTGGGGAGTCTCTTTGAGATTTCTCTCCCTCTCCCTCTGCACTCCCCCCCACCACCGGTGCTCTCTCTCTCAAATCAATCAATCAATCTTTAAAAAAACAGAATTATGTTGTAATACATTCTGGCATACTATGCTATTATTAATAATTATGATATTGGTTCACACAAACAAGTGAAGAAAAGATACTTGTGATGAATTACTGAGTGAGGCAGGTAGCTTTTAAAAATAATCAATATTTGGGAGGTGGTCTCTTGCTATAATGAATACAGACTGTTGTCAGACCTTTAGGACATGAATTTCAGATTGAAACTCTGATGTTTACGAACATGCCAGTCCCTTGAAGTCTCATTGGTAAACTGGGAAAGAATATCAAATAGCATATAAAATAGTCTGAAGATTAAGTAATCTATATAAAATACTTAATAAAATAATTGCTTAAGTTAGTTATTATTATTTAAAGTGGAGAAACTTCGGGGCACCTAGGTGGCTCAGTGAGTTAAGCATCTGTCTGCTTTTGGCTCAGATCATGATCCTGGAGTCCCAGGATCAAGCCCTGCATTAGGTTCCCTGCTCAGCAGGGAGTCTGCTTCTCCCTCTGACCCTCCCCCTTCTTGTCTTCTCTCTCTTTCTCTCAAATAAATAAATAAAACCTTAAAAAAATAAAGTGGAGAACCTTCCAAGTTCCTTAATTTACTGTTTTAAAAGAAACACAATTCTGCTAATTCCATTTTTCTTACAATAAAATTTAAGTTCCTTAGGCCTACATTCTTATAATGCTAATTAAAAAATGTCAAAGCCTGGCTTTAAGCATATAATTCTCCTCAATAAACAAATATTAACAAAAAAGATTCTCCAACACTTTAGGAGAAAATATGCCCATCCCCTGCCCCAGGCAGTTCAGAAAAATCATTTCAACATCCTAGAGGAGTTCAGAGAATCTGATGATCAGGTACCAAATTAAGAATTTAGTGAGTGTCTAAATACTGTTTTTTGGAACAAGGTGGAGATTTATCTGATTATTCGTAACTTTTACTACCTATTCCATGTTTCTGTTTACATAAATCTATCATTGGAAATGTTTATACAACAGATACTTGGAATAACCCAGACATCAGATCTTTTCTATATTCTCTGAAATGACATTTAATCTAATTTTTAAAAATCGATTTTATTTTTTTTCAAAGATTTATTTATTTATTTGAAAGAGAGAGAGAGAGCACGAGCAGGAGGGTCAGACGGAGAGGAAGAGGAAATCTCAAGCCAACTCTAAGCTGAGCACAGAGCCTGATGCAGGGCTCAATCTCATGACCCTGATATCAAGAACTGAGCCAAAACTAAGAGCCACCCAGGTGCCCCTAAAAAATTGATTTTAAAATGCTATGTTGGGGTGCCTAGGTTCCTCAGTCAGTTAAGTGCCTGCCTTTGGCTCAGGTCATGATCCCAGGGTCCTGGGATCTAATCCCACGCAGGGAGCCTACTTCTCCCTCTCCCTCTGCCTGCAGCTCGCCTTGCTTGTGCTCTCTCTCTCTCTCTAATAAATAAATAAAATCTTTAGAAAAAATGCTATGTTAGCAGAAATGTTATCATTTTCTGGTAATTGATTTTAACTGACAAATCTATGTTCCTAAGAGGTGAAAATACTCAGAAAGGTTTTTCGAGTAAGGGGATTAAGGGCCTTCTCTTTACATGCATAGAGACAATAATGAAACGCGGGATTTCTTTTACAAATTAAGAGTTGGAAATTCTTTTGTCACCTTATGTGATCAAATACGGTTATTTTATATTACAGAATCAAGACCAAAAATATATGCTTACAGATAAAAACTGGAAAAATCTATATCAAAATATAATTGGTGATTAATGGCAGTGGGGGGGCAGGGAGGAAGAGACTATGGATAATTTTATCTTTCTTGTTCATTAATTCTTTAGGTTACTGGATTTTCCTGCAATGGTCAGATATAATTCCTACCTGGAAATACGGCACCAATATTACACAAAATATTTTTTAAAGTAAAATTATAGGGAGATCTTTCCACTCATAAACTGTAAACTCTAACTCTGAATTGGAAGGACAATGTTGTTGAAATAAATTTCACCTACCATTTCTTGGACAATCCTTGAGTAATATCATCAGTATAATTCAAAAGTGGGTATGCAAGCTGGCACAGTCACTCTGGAAAACAGTATGGAGGTTCCTCAAGATGTTAAAAATAGAGCTACCCTACGACCCAGCAATTGCACTAGTAGGTATTTACCCCAAAGATACAGATGTAGTGTAAAGAAGGGCCACATCCACCCCAATGTTCATAGCAGCAATGTTCACAATAGCCAAACTGTGGAAGGAGCCAACATGCCCTTCAACAGACGAATGGATAAAGAAGATTATATATATAATGGTCCATATAAACAATGGAATATTATTCAGCCATCAGAAAGGATGAATACCCACCATCTGCATCAACATGGATGGAACTGGAGGGGATTATGCTAAGTGAAGTAAGTCAAGCAGAGAAAGACAATTATCCTATGGTTTCACTCATATGTGGGACATAAGCAATAGCACGGAGGACCAAAGGGGAAGTGAGGGAAATCTGAAGGGGTAGAAATCAGGGAGGGAGATGAACCATGAGAGACTATGGACCCCAAGAAACAAACTGAGGGTTTCAGAGGAGAGGGTGGGGCGAGAGGGTAACAGGGTGATGGGTATTAAGGAGGGCACGTGTTGTGATCAGCACTGGGTGTTATACATAAATAATGATTCACTGAACACTACATCAAAAACTAATGATGTACTATACAGTGGCTAACTGAATATAATAAAAAAAAAGTTTCACTATCAAGATTTTTCTGTGAATGAACATAATTCAGGTAAGTGGAATTAGCAGATTGAATACATGTGTAAAAAGCAGACAGAAAACAGTTTTGTATACAGTAGATTCTCAATAAATGTAGATATAGATGTCTCCTTTACACATATGTAATTAAAATACCATTTTGGATACAAACCTTGTAAAATATTTTACATAACCCTATAGTATTAAATGAGATTCATATCTAATTTTAAAGTGCTTTTGAATAATACTTCTCATATTTGTGAATATTGCTTCACATTACATTATGTATTTTTCCTTCTTATGAAGAATCTTTTAAAGATTTAATTTATTTATTTGAGAGAGAGCACATGTGAGTGTGTTGGGGGGAAGAGCAGAAGGAGGGGGAGAGAGAAAGAATCTCAAGCAGACTCCCCAGTGAGTGCAGAGCCTGACATGGAGCTCCATCCCACGACCCTGAGATCATGATCTGAGCTGAAACCAAGAGTCGGATGCTTAACCAAGAGCCACCCAGGTGCCCCATGAAGAATCTTTGTAAGCATAATTTCACTAGCTGCATGTTATTTTATCTCATGTATGTATGTAGTATGTGGTGGGATTTACTCAACTATTTCTGTAATCTTGAACACTTTATACAAGATTGTATCCATTATTACCATTTTGTTTCCAAACCAACATTTCTGAGTATTTTTGGTCATAGTCACCTTTGATAATCAGTAAATACACACTTCTGAATACTGTTTCAAATGATCTATGGGCCCCTGGAAGCTCACAAGAGCAATCAAAGAACGGAAGATTAAGAACCCCTGTTTTTAACCAGTTGAGCCTGTGGATAATTTTCTTACCTTGCAAATAACCATCAATTACCTTCGTATTTCCATTATTACTATTGGACCCTGAAGGGGAATCACCTAGAATCACAACAGTTAATATTTATTGAACAATCCTATGTTCCAGGCTCTGTTGTCATGAGCTTTACATTTTTATCCTTGTTATATCCCTATGAAATATGTACTATTATAATGTACATCTGAGCACTGTGGAACACAGAGGCTGTGTGAATACACCAAGCTCATACAGCTAGGAAGTGGCAGAGCCAAGATTCAAACCAAATATCGGATATCCGGGCCCATCCTCTTCAATATCACACCACACTGCCTCTCACAATTCACCCAATGATATACCTGAAAAAAACTCAGGCTGCCAGGCCAAAAATAACACCTGACTAGTACTACTGGTCATAACTTAGAGATCACCTGAACATATTCCTCCCCTTGTTGACACGGATCTCTATCCTCAAATACCCAGTTACAGTCCCACTTCCAAAAGCTTCACAAAGCAGATGCCTTTGTCATTTGTTGACTATTAGGCCTCTGCAGAATATCAGAAATATGTGGTATGTAATTCCACATAAACCCATGCTGCCTTGCTTAATCACCATCTAAAATAAAGACCAACTGGGGTACCTGGTTGGCTCAGCCAGTTAAGTGTCTGCCTTCGGCTCAGGTCATGATCCCGGAGTTCTGGGATCGAGCTCTGCATCGGACTCCCTGCTCAGTGGGGAGTCTGCTTCTCCCTCTGCCCCTCACCCCACTCTTGTGCTCTCTCTCTCTCTCGAATAAATAAAAAATAAAAATAAAATAAATAAAATAAAGACCAACTGTATAATTCAAATGATTTGCCAATTGAATATATGACCATTACCTGGAGAAGACAGAGAAGATCAGAGCCACGTGAAGGATTTATCTCAATGACTTCTATCCATTAACTGGGCATGGAAGGTGTAAAGACGGTCTCTACCTAGTATATACTTCAGGCAAAGAAAATCAAATGTTCTCATGTCCAAATAAAAGTTTTGTGAACACGGAAACTCACCTGAAGTTTGATTTTCTGGCATTTACCTAAGAGAAATAAAAACTTAGACCCACCTAAAGACTTTCACAGGAATGTTCTTAGCAGCTTTAATTATAATAATGCAAACTGGAACAACCAAAATGTCAACAGGAGAAAGGATGACTACATTATGATATATCCATATAATGGAATACTATTCAACTATATTTTGGATTGAACTGATATATGCAACAACATGGATGAATCTCAAAATAATTATGCTGAATACAAGAAACAAGACAGACCATATACTGTTTGATTCTATCTGTATGCAAATCTAGAAAGGGTAAACTAATTTATGTTAACAGACAGCAGATCAGTAACTGCCTGGAAGCACAGTGGGAGGGGACGGGGGGGTTGGGAGGGAAGGATTACCGAGGCTTTTGGGGGTGATGGATCTGTTCATTATTTGGATTGCACTGATGGTTTCATGGATAAATACACATTTCACAATGAATCCACTTGTACCTATGTACAGTGGTGGATGTTAATCAGACTTACTGTAGTGATCATTTCACAATGTATACAAATAAATCATTATGCTGTATACCTGAAACTAATATACAGATGTTCCTTGACTTATAATGGCGTTATATCCTGATAAACCCATCATAAGCTGAAAATCTCATAAATCAAAAATGCATTTAATACACCTAACCTACTGAACATCGCTGTTAGCTTAGCCTAACTTAATCATACTCTGGACACTTACATTAGCCTACATTTGGGCAAAATCATCTAACACAAAGCCTACATTATAATAAAGTGGTGAATATCTCATGTAATTTATTGAATACTATGCTGAAATTGAAAAACAGAATGATTGCTTTCATGCCATCATAAAGTTGAAAAATTAAGTGGGGAACCATTTGTAATGTTATATGTCAATTATATCTCAATTTAAAAAATCAAATATAGGGGGCGCCTGGGTGGCTCAGTTGGTTAAGCGACTGCCTTCAGCTCAGGTCATGATCCTGGAGTCCCTGGATCGAGTCCCGCATCGGGCTCCCTGCTCAGCAAGGAGCCTGCTTCTCCCTCTGACCCTCCCCCCTCTCATGTGCTCTCTCTCTCTCATTCTCTCTGTCTCAAATAAATAAATAAAAAATCTTTAAAAAAAAAAAATCAAATATAGGGTGCCTGGGTGGCTCAGTGGGTTAAGCATCTGACTCTGGATTTCGGCTCAGGTCATGATCTCAGGGTCCTGGGATGGAGTCCCAAGTCAGGCTCTCTGCTCAGCAGGGAGTCGCTTCTCCCTCTCTCTTTCCCTCTACCCCTCCCTACCCCCCACCCGCTTGAGCTCTTTCTCTCAAATAAATAAAATCTTAAAAGAAGTAAAAAAAAACCAAAACAGTATTATATTTAAAAAAAGAAATTCCTTACTAAAACCCATGATCCATATATTTGCAAGTTCTAAATCACATGTCTATTCAATTTTAAAAGCCTCACAAAGCATTAATCTCAATCCACACTAAGACAGAGACCATTTATTACCAGGCTTTGTCACCTGTACCTAGAAAACTCCTGTCTATGACAATGTCAGAATCTTTCCATGTTTGGCCAAATGGGATCCTCATCTCTAATTCATCAGCTATAACCCTGACATGGGAAGCTCAAATGATTTCTTTACAAGACTTTATTTTTTCATTCTTTCATCACTGCTCTTAAAGTAAGTTGGGCACATAAGAGATAATGCATATTCTAGCCAGTATATACATAAACACAGATTGGAAGAGCCTGGGTCACAGAAGGAGAACACGAGGTTATCTGCAACGATTGTTCACTGGTATAGGGAACCAATAATTGATTGGGGTGTTTCCTGGTAGTAAGTTTCCAGGATAATTAATGAAAACATTTATATCACAAGAATGAAATGAAATGTAATGAAAACATTTATTCCAACAAGAAGGGAACACCAACTTACATATGTCATGGTTTGATATCTGCAAAAACTGATCAGTCTTCCTTGGGGTTTCTCTACTGGAGAAAAACAAGAGAATCCAGAACTGGGAAGGAAAAAGAGACCCTGTGAGAGCAAGCATGCTTTAGTGTTACTATATAAGAAATTAAATGTTTTGCTTCTCCATTCCATTTTACTTAATACCTCCCACCATACAAACACACCCAATTACAAAAGAAGGATTTTAGATAAATTGAAACTCTTCCCCTAATCCCCAGAAATGCAGATACTTCAGCAGACAGCTTTCTGGCCAGTCCTCCATTTTGGGGAAGCTGTTCAGCACCTGAGACTGGGCTGCTCAGTCCTGCCCTGAACACATTCTCCTCCCTTCATTCACAGCTTTCAGGATTGAAAAGGACCTACACCAGCCAAACCACACCTTACTTCCTGGCTTTGGGATCAGTGAGGATGAACAGGTTAGAAAGGGTGTACAGATTAGGGGCACCTGCGTGGCTCAGTCAGTTGGGTGTCAGGCTCTTGATTTCAGCTCAGGTCATGATCTCAGGGTCCTGGGATGGAGCCTCGCGGCCGGCTCCCTGCTCAGTGGGGAGTCTTGCTTGTCTCCTTCTCCCCCTGCCCCTCCCCCTACTCTCTCTCTCTCAAATGATAAGTCATTTAAAAAAGAAAAGAAAAGAAAGGGTGTACAGGTTAGAAAAGTCACAGAATTGGTCAGGCAGGGTTCAACATTCTGATTCCAGAAAAACTGACTGCTGAATACATTACATACAAAATGTGAAGGGAAAATAATGAAGACATGGAAAATACTCCAGAAATACTGTCAGAAAAATCAGATTATGTGGACTCTGAAAAACAAACAGGGTTCTAGAGGGGAGGGGGGTGGGGGGATGGGTTAGCCTGGTGGTGGGTATTGAGGAGGGCAC